AGGAGTAGAGATGTTATAGGAGTAGAGAGGTTATAGGAGTAGAGCGGTTGTAGGAGTAGAGATATTGTAAAAAAGTAGAGAGGTCGCTCTGGATAAGAGCGTCTGCTAAATGACTTAGGAGTCGAGAGTAAGGGGTTATAGGAATAGAGAGGTTATAGGAGTAGAGAGTAAAGCGGTTGTAGGAGTAGAGAGATTATAGGAGTAGAGAGGCTATAGGAGTAGAGAGGTTAAAGGAGTAGAGAGTACAGCGTTTATAGGAGTGGAGAGGTTATTGGAGTAGAGAGGCTATAGGAGTAGATAGGTTATATGAGTAGAGAGTACAGCGTTTATAGGAGTGGAGAGGTTATAGGAGTAGAGAGGCTATAGGAGTAGATAGGTTATAGGAGTAGAGAGGTTACAGGACTAGAGATTATAGGAGTAGAGAGGCTATAGGAGTAGAGAGGTTATATGAGTAGAGAGATTATAGAGAGTAGAGATGTTATAGGAGTAGAGAGGTTATAGGAGTAGAGAGGTTACAGGAGTAGAGAGGTTACAGGAGTAGAGAGGTTACAGGAGTAGAGAGGTTATAGGAATAGAGAATGGTGGTTATAGGAGTAGAGAGGTTATAGGAGTAGAGAGGTTATAGGAGTAGAGATGTTATAGGAGTAGAGAGGTTATAGGAGTAGAGCGGTTGTAGGAGTAAAGAGATTGTAAAAAGTAGAGGTCGCTCTGGATAAGAGCGTCTGCTAAATGACTTAGGAGTCGAGAGTAAGTGGTTATAGGAATAGAGAGGTTATAGGAGTAGAGAGTAAAGCGGTTGTAGGAGTAGAGAGGCTATAGGAGTAGAGAGGCTATAGGAGTAGAGAGGTTAAAGGAGTAGAGAGTACAGCGTTTATAGGAGTGGAGAGGTTATAGGAGTAGAGAGGCTATAGGAGTAGATAGGTTATATGAGTAGAGAGTACAGCGTTTATAGGAGTGGAGAGGTTATAGGAGTAGAGAGGCTATAGGAGTGGAGAGGTTATAGGAGTGGAGAGGTTATAGGAGTAGAGTGGTTGTAGGAGTAGAGAGATTGTAAAAAGTAGAGAGGTCGCTCTGGATAAGAGCATCTGCTAAATGACTTAGGAGTCGAGAGTAAGGGGTTATAGGAATAGAGAGGTTATAGGAGTAGAGAGTAAAGCGGTTGTAGGAGTAGAGAGATTATAGGAGTAGAAAGGCTATAGGAGTAGAGAGGTTAAAGGAGTAGAGAGTACAGCGTTTATAGGAGTGGAGAGGTTATTGGAGTAGAGAGGCTATAGGAGTAGATAGGTTATATGAGTAGAGAGTACAGCGTTTATAGGAGTGGAGAGGTTATAGGAGTAGAGAGGCTATAGGAGTAGAGAGGTTATAGGAGTGGAGATGTTATAGGAGTAGAGAGGTTATAGGAGTGGAGAGGTTATAGGAGTAGAGAGGTTATAGGAGTAGAGAGGTTGTAGGAATAGATAATAGAGGTTATAGAGAGTAGCAAGGTTATAGAGAGTAGAGAGGTTATAGGAGTAGAGAGGTTATAGGAGTAGAGGTTATAGGAGTGGAGAGGTTATAGGAGTAGAGAGGTTATAGGAGAAGAGAGTAGAGAGGGTATAGGAGTATAGAGGATATAAGAGTAGAGAGTACAGAGTTTATAGGAGTAGAGAGGTTATTGGGGTAGAGAGGTTATATAGAGGTTATAGGAGTAGAGAGGTTATAGGAGTAGAGAGGTTATAGGAGTGGAGAGGTTATAGGAGTAGAGAGTAGAGAGATTATAGGAGTAGATAGGGTATAGGAGTAGAGGTTATAAGAGTAGAGATGTTCTAGGAGTAGAGAGTAGATAGGTTATAGGAGTAGAGGTTATAGGAGTTGAGAGTGGAGAGGTTATAGGAGTAGAGAGTTTCTAGTAGAGAGGTCATAAGAGTAGAGAGTTTATAGGAGTAGAGAGGTTATATAGAGGTTATAGAGAGTAGAGGTTATAGGAGTAGAGGTTATAGGAGTAGAGAGGTTATAGGAGTAGAGAGGTTATTGGAGTAGAGAGGTTATATAGAGGTTATAGAGAGTAGAGAGGTTATAGGAGTAGAGAGGTTATAGGAGTAGAGAGGTTATAGGAGTAGAGAGGTTATAGGAGTAGAGGTTATAGGAGTAGAGGTTATAGGAGTAGAGAGGTTATAGGAGTAGAGAGGTTATTGGAGTAGAGAGGTTATATAGAGGTTATAGAGAGTAGAGAGGTTATAGGAGTAGAGAGGTTATAGGAGTAGAGAGGTTATAGGAGTAGAGGTTATAGGAGTAGAGGTTATAGGAGTAGAGAGGTTATAGAAGTAGAGAGGTTATAGAGAGTAGAGAGGTTATAGGAGTGGAGAGGTTATAGGAGTGGAGAGGTTTATAGAGAGGTTATGGGAGTATTTGTATTTATTAAGGATCACCATTTGTTCCTGCCAAGGCAGCAGCTACTCTTCCTGGGGTCCAGCAACATTAAGGCAGTTACAGTGGGGGAAAAAAGTATTTAGTCAGCCACCAATTGTGCAAGTTCTCCCACTTAAAAAGATGAGAGAGGCCTGTAATCTTCATCATAGGTACACATCAACTATGACAGACAAACTGAGAATTTTTTTTCCAGAAAATCACATTGTAGGATTTTTTATGAATTTATTTGCAAATTATGGTGGAAAATAAGTATTTGGTCACCTACAAACAAGCAAGATTTCTGGCTCTCACAGACCTGTAACTTCTTCTTTAAGAGGCTCCTCTGTCCTCCACTCGTTACCTGTATTAATGGCACCTGTTTGACCTTGTTATCAGTATAAAATACACCTGTCCACAACCTCAAACAGTCACACTCCAAACTCCACTATGGCCAAGACCAAAGAGCTGTCAAAGGACACCAGAAACAAAATTGTAGACCTGCACCAGGCTGGGAAGACTGCATCTGCAATAGGTAAGCAGCTTGGATTGAAGAAATCAACTGTGGGAGCAATTATTAGGAAATGGAAGACATACAAGACCACTGATAATCTCCCTCGATCTGGGGCTCCACGCAAGATCTCACCCCGTGGGGTCAAAATGATCACAAGAACGGTGAGCAAAAATCCCAGGACCACACGGGGGGACCTAGTGAATGACCTGCAGAGAGCTGGGACCAAAGTAACAAAGCCTACCATCAGTAACACACTACGCCGCCAGGGACGCAAATCCTGCAGTGCCAGACGTGTCCCCCTGCTTAAGCCAGTACATGTCCAGGCCCGTCTGAAGTTTGCTAGAGTGCATTTGGATGATCCAGAAGAGGATTGGGAGAATGTCATATGGTCAGATGAAACCAAAATATAACTTTTTGGTAAAAAACTCAACTCGTCGTGTTTGGAGGACAAAGAATGCTGAGTTGCATCCAAAGAACACCATACCTACTGTGAAGCATGGGGGTGGAAACATCATGCTTTGGGGCTGTTTTTCTGCAAAGGGACCAGGACGACTGATCCGTGTAAAGGAAAGAATGAATGGGGCCATGTATCGTGAGATTTTGAGTGAAAACCTCCTTCCATCAGCAAGGGCATTGAAGATGAAACGTGGCTGGGTCTTTCAGCATGACAATGATCCCAAAACACACCGCCCGGGCAACGAAGGAGTGGCTTCGTAAGAAGCATTTCAAGGTCCTGGAGTGGCCTAGCCAATCTCCAGATCTCAACCCCATAGAAAATCTTTGGAGGGAGTTGAAAGTCCGTGTTGCCCAGCGACAGCCCCAAAACATCACTGCTCTAGAGGAGATCTGCATGGAGGAATGGGCCAAAATACCAGCAACAGTGTGTGAAAACCTTGTGAAGACTTACAGAAAACGTTTGACCTGTGTCATTGCCAACAAAGGGTATATAACAAAGTATTGAGAAACTTTTGTTATTGACCAAATACTTATTTTCCACCATAATTTGCAAATAAATTCATTAAAAATCCTACAATGTGATTTTCAGGATTTTTTTTCTCATTTTGTCTGTCATAGTTGACGTGTACCTATGATGAAAATTACAGGCCTCTCTCATCTTTTTAAGTGGGAGAACTTGCACAATTGGTGGCTGACTAAATACTTTTTTTCCCCCACTGTATATACAATTTAAAATATTACATGGCTTTACATTTCATAACACTTTTCACAACACATTAAGTGTGTGCCCTCAGGCCACTACTCTACTACCACATATCTACAATACAACATCCATGTGTACGTGTGTGTAGAGGACGTGTCTTATCATGTGTCTGTGCCTGTGCCTGTGTGTGTCTCTTCACAGTCCCCGCTGTTCCATAAGGTGTATTTTTATGTTTTTTTAAATCTGATAATGCTGCTTGCATCAGTTACTTGATGTGGAATAGAGTTCCATGTAGTCATGGCTCTATGTAGTACTGTGCGCCTCCCATAGTCTGTTCTGGACTTGGGGACTGTGAAGAGACCTCTGGTGGCATGTCTTGTGGGGTATGCATGGGTGTCTGAGCTGTGTGCTAGTAGTTTAAACAGACACCTCAGTGCATTCAGCATGTCAACACTTCTTACAAAAACAAGTAGTGATGAAGTCAATCTCTCCTTCACTTTGAGTCATGAGAGATTTAATTACTCCTAGCGTTAAGCTTTACATACAGGAATGTGGTTCTGAATATAAACAGCAACACCTCCACCTTTGGCATTTCTGTCTTTTCTGTAGATGTTATAACCATGTATTGCGACCACTGTATCATCAAAATTATTATTTAAGTGAGTTTCAGAGATAGTCAGAATATGAATGTAATCTGTTACTAGCAAGTTATTGATTTCATGAACCTTGTTTCTTAAGCTACATATGTTAACGTGGGCTATTTTCAGCACTTTTCTGGGATGCTTGATTGTTTTCATTGCTTTACTGGGAAGCTTAGCAGAAGTAGACATGCTCATGTTATTTATGTTAGTGCAGGGTGAGCTGCAGAACATGGACTTCCTACTAGAGTGACTTATGTCCAATTGTCTGTGCTCCAGCCAGGCGGTGGTGGTGGATCGGACCATGTACATCTCCGGCCAGCTGGGGATAGACGTGGCCTCAGGGAAGCTGGTGGAGGGAGGGGTACAGGCTCAAGCCAGACAGGTGAGAGATGGTGGAGGGGGGGGGGGCTCAGGTGAGAGATGGTGGAGGGAGGGAGAGGAGAGATGGCAGAGGGGGAGGGTGAGAGATGGTGGATGGAGAGGGGGGAGATGGGAGTGGTTGGAGTGTTAGTGGAAGGTGCTAGATAGGGGAGGGGGAGGTGAGAGATGAGGGAGGGGGAGAGATGGTGGAGGGGGGAGAGATGGTGGGGGGGAGAGATGGTGGGGGGGGGAGAGATGGTTGAGGGGGGGAGAGAGATGGTTTTGAGGGGGGAGAGAGAGATGGTTTGAGGGGGGGAGAGATGGTGTGAGGGGGGAGAGATGGTTGAGGGGGGGAGAGAGATGGTGGAGGGGAGGTGAGAGATGGTGGAGGGGGGAGAGATGGTGGAGGGGGGAGAGATGGTGGAGGGGAGGTGAGAGATGGTGGGCGGGAGGGAGAGATGGTGGAGGGGGGGAGAGAGATGGTGGAGGGGGGAGAGAGATGGTTGAGGGAAGGTGAGAGATGGTTGAGGGGGGAGAGAGATGGTGGAGGGAGGGAGAGATGGTTGAGGGGAGGTGAGAGATGGTGGAGGGGGGGAGAGATGGTGGAGGGGGGAGAGAGATGGTGGAGGGGGGAGAGAGATGGTTGAGGGAAGGTGAGAGATGGTGGAGGGGGGAGAGAGATGGTTGAGGGGAGGTGTCTGAATGATCAAGGTAAAATATAATTATATTATAATACTTATAGTATTAGTCATGTTAGTCATGTTAGTACTTATTACAGCCTCCCTCCTCCATCACCAACCCTTCCCTCACCTCCTCCCTCCTCCCTCCTCCCTCCTCCATCACCAACCCTTCCCTCACCTCCTCCCCCAACAGGCTCTGGTCAATATGGGAGAGATCCTGAATGCAGCTGGATGTGGTTATGATAATGGTGAGACTCTTTAAAATATATATATATATATATCATCAGATGAACAAGAATGAATGTATGTTTATTAAATGTAAAAGACAAGAAATGATTAGATTAATTCCAGCTGAGATCTAAAGACTAATCTGAAATGTGTATCTGACAGACTTCTTTACTTTTGTCTCTTTCAGTCGTCAAGACAACTGTGCTGTTGGCAGACATAAATGACTTTGTCTATGTCAACAATGTTTATAAGACATGTAAGTGTTTGACCTGACAATGTTAGGGGCTAAGGGTTATGGGAGAATCTCAATTATATGTATTTGTTTGCTCACGTCCTGTCGCTTCCTGCTCAAAACACACAAGGAGAGCGAATACAAATCAATTGAGATTCTCCCCATGTCCGCATCTAACGTTTGAGTTTAGTCCACCTCGTCATAATGTCCTGCATGTCCACAACTGTCCACACGATGGCGCCCTGTACCCTGAATAACGGCACTTCTCTGTCAGGATCTGTTGGCCACTTGTTCTGTGTGCCTAGTGCATAATATTGAATACTTACTTTAGACCCAGCATTCTTCAGTAGCACATTCATACATGTCTGAAAGGACAACAGATACATAAACTCAGCAAAAAAAGAAACGTCCTCTCACTGTCAACTAAGTTTATTTTCAGCAAACTTAACAAGTGTAAATATTTGTATGAACATAACAAGATTCAACAACTGAGACATAAACTGAACAAGTTCCACAGACATGTGACTAACAGAAATGGAATAATGTGTCCCTGAACAAAGGGGGGGTCAAAATCAAAAGTAACAGTCAGTATCTGGTGTGGCCACCAGCTGCATTAAGTACTGCAGTGCATCTCCTCCTCATGGACTGCACCAGATTTGCCAGTTCTTGCTGTGAGATGTTACCCCACTCTTCCACCAAGGCACCTGCAAGTTCCCAGACATTTCTTGGGGGGGTGGCCCTAGCCCTCACCCTCCGATCCAACAGGTCCCAGACGTGTTCAATGGGGCTCTTCGCTGGCCATGGCAGAACACTGACATTCCTGTCTTGCAGGAAATCACGCACAGAACGAGCAGTATGGCTGGTGGCATTGTCATGCTGGAGGGTCATGTCAGGATGAGCCTGCAGGAAGGGTACCACATGAGGGAGGAGGATGTCTTCCCTGTAACGCACAGCGTTGAGATTGCCTGCAATGACAACAAGCTCAGTCCGATGATGCTGTGACACATCGCCCCAGACCATGACGGACCCTCCACCTCCAAATCGATCCCGCTCCAGAGTACAGGCCTCGGTGTAACGCTCATTCCTTCGACGATAAACGTGAATCCGACCATCACCCCTAGTGAGACAAAACCGCGACTCGTCAGTGAAGAGCACTTTATGACAGTCCTGTCTGGTCCAGCGATGGTGGGTTTGTGCCCATAGGCGACGTTGTTGCCGGTGATGTCTGGTGAGGACCTGCCTTACAACAGGCCTACAAGCCCTCAGTCCAGTCTCTCTCAGCCTATTGCGGACAGTCTGAGCACTGATGGAGGGATTGTGCTTTCCTGGTGTAACTCGGGCAGTTGTTGTTGCCATCCTTTACCTGTCCCGCAGGTGTGATGTTTGGATGTACCGATCCTGTGCAGGTGTTACACGTGGTCTGCCACTGCGAGGACGATCAGCTGTCCGTCCTGTCTCCCTGTAGGGTTGTCTTAGGCGTCTCACAGTACGGACATTGCAATTTATTGCCCTGGCCACATCTGCAGTCCTCCTGCCTCCTTGCAGCATGCCTAAGGCACGTTCACGCAGATGAGCAGGGACCCTGGGCATCTTTCTTTTGGGGTTTTTCAGAGTCAGTAGAAAGGCCTCTTTAGTGTCCTAAGTTTTCATAACTGTGACCTTAATTGCCTACCATCTGTAAGCTGTTAGTGTCTTAACGACCGTTCCACAGGTGCATGTTCATTAATTGTTTATGGTTCATTGAACAAGCATGGGAAACAGTGTTTAAACCCTTTACAATGAAGATCTGTGAAGTTATTTGAATTTTTACGAATTATCTTTGAAAGGCAGAAATTGATGCATAGCTGTACCTCTGCCCTTCATAATTAAACTCTTGTCTGGCTTTGCCTTGCCAAGGTACGTTTCCCATAGTTCCTTTTCCAGAGGCCTCAATGGCACTCTGGCTGCATAGGTATTTCCTCTTTGATCACAGTGGAACTGAACCCTGGTGTGTGTCAGAGTGGAAGAGGATACAGGGAAGCTCTGTGAAACCCAACCCGACCCAACCCTCTCCCTGGGTCCTGCCTGAAACCCGACCCGACCCAACCCTCTCCCTGGGTCCTGCCTGTAGCCACACGGTTCCAGTCAGCCAAAACTGCAACCAGCCATGAAGTTCATAGAACTAGATCTAATATATGGCCTGGAGAATACGTCTCATGTCCATGACCTTAGTTTAGAGTGAATACTACCAACTGTACTCTCAAGCAGTGTGGTAAAAAGAGGCAGAAGCTTGGACCAGCTGGGTGATTTTGAAGTGGTCATGAATATATGATGTGATGTGGTTATGGAGAGGACATACTTTCTTAATGGCACAGTGTTCAGCCAGGTGTTCAGCCAGGTGTTCAGCCAGGTGTTCAGCCAGGTTTTCAGCCAGTTTTTCAGCCAGGTTTTCAGCCAGGTTTTCAGCCAGGTGTTCAGCCAGGTGTTCAGCCAGGTGTTCAGCCAGGTTTTCAGCCAGGTTTTCAGCCAGGTGTTCAGCCAGGTGTTCAGCCTGGAGTATATTTGTTACTACTCCTTGTCATTCAGAGTCTAGACCTTCCCTGCTTATTAAAGTTTCTTTGGAAACGTCCTTTCAGTATAAAAATGATTGGAATTAGTCCTACTGTAATTCAGTATGATTTGGGGAAATTGTTTGTACAATGTACTTTCTTTTTTTCATTCAGTTTTCAACAAAAACTTCCCTGCCAGAGCTGCCTACCAGGTTGCTGCCCTCCCCAGAGTAAGCACCATAACCACACGTATCTAACCCTGACCCTCCCCAGAGTCAGCACCATAACCACACGTATCTAACCCTGACCCTCCCCAGAGTCAGCACCATAACCACACGTATCTAACCCTAACCCTCCCCAGAGTCAGCACCATAACCACACGTATCTAACCCTGACCCTCCCCAGAGTCAGCACCATAACCACACGTATCTAACCCATAACCCTCCCCAGAGTCAGCACCATAACCACACGTATCTAACCCTGACCCTCCCCCAGAGTCAGCCACCATAACCACACGTATCTAACCCTAACCCTCCCCAGAGTCAGCACCATAACCACACGTATCTAACCCTAACCCTCCCCAGAGTAGGAACCATAACCACACGTATCTAACCCTAACCCTCCCCAGAGTCAGCACCATAACCACACGTATCTAACCCTCCCCAGAGTAGGAACCATAACCACACGTATCTAACCCTCCCCAGAGTAGGAACCATAACCCACACGTATCTAACCCTAACCCTCCCCAGAGTCAGCACCATAACCACACGTATCTAACCCTAACCCTCCCCAGAGTAGGAACCATAACCACACGTATCTAACCCTAACCCTCCCCAGAGTCAGCACCATAACCACACGTATCTAACCCTAACCCTCCCCAGAGTAGGAACCATAACCACACGTATCTAACCCTAACCCACCCCAGAGTCAGCACCATAACCACACGTATCTAACCCTAACCCTCCCCAGAGTAGGAACCATAACCACACGTATCTAACCCTAACCCTCCCCAGAGTAGGAACCATAACCACACGTATCTAACCCTAACCCTAACCCTAACCCTAATCCCCAGAGTAGGCACCATAACCACACGTATCTAACCCTCCCCAGAGTCAGCACCATAACCACACGTATCTAACCCTCCCCAGAGTCAGCACCATAACCACACGTATCTAACCCTAACCCAGAGTCAGCACCATAACCACACGTATCTAACCCTAACCCACCCCAGAGTCAGCACCATAACCACATGTATCTAACCCTAACCCTCCCCCAGAGTCAGCAACCATAACCACACGTATCTAACCCTAACCCTCCCCCAGAGTAGGAACCATAACCACACGTTATCTAACCCTAACCCTCCCCAGAGTAGGCACCATAAACCACACGTATCTAACCCTAACCCTCCCCAGTCAGCACCATAACCACACGTATCTAACCCTAACCCTCCCCAGAGTAGGCACCATAACTACACGTATCTAACCCTAACCCTCCCCAGAGTCAGCACCATAACCACACGTATCTAACCCTAACCCTCCCCAGAGTCAGCACTATAACCACACGGATCTAACCCTCCCCAGAGTCAGCACCATAACCACACGTATCTAACCCTAACCCTCCCCAGAGTAGGCACCATAACTACACGTATCTAACCCTAACCCTCCCCAGAGTCAGCACCATAACCACACGTATCTAACCCTAACCCTCCCCAGAGTAGGAACCATAACCACACGTATCTAACCCTAACCCTCCCCAGAGTCAGCACCATAACCACACGTATCTAACCCTAACCCTCCCCAGAGTAGGAACCATAACCACACGTATCTAACCCTAACCCTCCCCAGAGTCAGCACCATAACCACACGTATCTAACCCTAACCCTCCCCAGTCAGCACCATAACCACACGTATCTAACCCTAACCCTCCCCAGAGTAGGAACCATAACCACACGTATCTAACCCTAACCCTCCCCAGAGTCAGCACCATAACCACACGTATCTAACCCTAACCCTCCCCAGAGTAGGCACCATAACTACACGTATCTAACCCTAACCCTCCCCAGAGTAGGAACCATAACCACACGTATCTAACCTAACTCTCCCCAGATTCAGCACCATAACCACACGTATCTAACCCTCCCCAGAGTCAGCACCATAACCACACGTATCTAACCCTCACCCAGAGTCAGCACCATAACCACACGTATCTAACCCTAACCCTCCCCCAGAGTCAGTACCATAACCACACGTATCTAACCCTAACCCTCCCCAGAGTCAGCACCATAACCACACGTATCTAACCCTAACCCACCCCAGAGTCAGCACCATAACCACACGTATCTAACCCTCCCCAGAGTCAGCACCATAACCACACGTATCTAACCCTAACCCTCCCCAGAGTCAGCACCATAACCACACGTATCTAACCCTAACCCTCCCCAGAGTCAGCACCATAACCACACGTATCTAACCCTAACCCTCCCCAGAGTCAGCACCATAACCACACGTATCTAACCCTAACCCTCCCCAGAGTCAGCACCATAACCACCACGTATCTAACCCTAACCCTCCCCAGAGTCAGCACCATAAACCACACGTATCTAACCCTAACCCTCCCCAGAGTCAGCACTATAACCACACGTATCTAACCCTCCCCAGAGTCAGCACCATAACCACACGTATCTAACCCTGACCCTCCCCAGTCAGCACCATAACCACACGTATCTAACCCTCCCCAGAGTCAGCACCATAACCACACGTATCTAACCCTAACCCTCCCCAGAGTAGGAACCATAACCACACGTATCTAACCCTCCCCAGAGTCAGCACCATAACCACACGTATCTAACCCTAACCCTCCCCAGAGTCAGCACCATAACCACACGTATCTAACCCTAACCCTCCCCAGAGTCAGCACCATAACCACACGTATCTAACCCTCCCCAGAGTCAGCACCATAACCACACATATCTAACCCTAACCCTCCCCAGAGTAGGAACCATAACCACACGTATCTAACCCTAACCCTCCCCAGAGTCAGCACCATAACCACACGTATCTAACCCTCCCCCAGAGTCAGCACCATAACCACACGTATCTAACCCTAACCCTCCCCAGAGTCAGCACCATAACCACACGGATCTAACCCTAACCCTCCCCAGAGTAGGAACCATAACCACACGTATCTAACCCTAACCCTCCCCAGAGTCAGCACCATAACCACACGTATCTAACCCTAACCCACCCCAGAGTAGGCACCATAACCACATGTATCTAACCCTAACCCTCCCCAGAGTCAGCACCATAACCACACGCATCTAACCCTAACCCTCCCCAGAGTAGGCACCATAACCACACGTATCTAACCCTAACCCTCCCCAGAGTCAGCACCATAACCACACGCATCTACTTATTATGTATCTACTTGATATTAAAGATGTAATACTCTTCCAAATGGTGATTCTAACCTCATTCTGTTTCTCTCTCTCTCTCTCTCTCTCTCTCTCTCTCTCTCTCTCTCTCTCTCTCTCTCTCTCTCTCTCTCTCTCTCTCTCTCTCTCTCTCTCTCTCTCTCTCTCTCTCTCTCATTCACTAATTCACTCACACTCTCTCTCTCTCACTCTGGCTCTCTTTCTCTCCCGCTCTCGCCCCTTTTCTCTCACTGACTCATTCACTCTCTCTCACTCTCACGCTGTCTCTCTCTCCCCATTCTCTCTCTCTCTCCTCTTTCTCTCTCTCTCTCTCACTCAGGATGGTCTGGTGGAGATCGAGGCCGTGGCTGTTCTGGGACCCATCTCTGACTCCTGTCTAACAGGCCAGGGCATCAACAAGCTGTAAACTAACTAACCTGGAAGTGAACGTTTAACAGCCTTGAAATTGTCCCAGTTTAAACATTAATTAAATTAACCCAAACCACCGCTAGACTTCGGCTATACTGCCCAGACATTCCAAGGCCTTGAAGAGGCCAATACAAGCCTTACCCAAAGCCATATACAGGCCTTACCCAAAGCCATATACAGGCCTTAACCAAAGCCATATACAGGCCTTACCCAAAGCCATATACAGGCCTTAACCAAAGCCATATACAGGCCTTACCCAAAGCCATATCACCCTTTAAACCCAAAGCCAAAAAACCTTACCCAAAGCCATATCAGGCCTTACCCAAACCATTACACCCCTTCCCAAAGCCTTACACCTTCCCCCAAAGCCAATACGGCCTTCCCCAAACCCCTAACAGGCCTTTCCCCAAAAGCCATATACGGGGCCTTAAACCAAAGCCATATACGGCCTTACCCAAACCCATATACGGCCTAACCAAACCCAAATACAGGCCTTACCCAAACCAAACGCCTTAAACCAAAAGCCCCCAAAAAAAAATTTAAAAAAAAACACCCCCTTTACCCAAAGCCATATACAGGCCTTACCCAAAGCCATATACAAGCCTTACCCAAAGCCATATACAAGCCTTCCCAAAAACCCATATAAAAAGCCTTACCCCAAACCCATTACAAGCCTACCCAAAAGCCAATACAAGCCTTACCCAAACCTAAAGCCTCCCAAACCCAAAATTAAAACCAAACCAACCCAAAAGGCCATTACGCCTTAACCAAAACCCATAAAAAGCCTTTAAAACCCCAAACCCATATCGGGCCCTTTTACCCAAACCATATCAGGCCCTTAAACCAAACCCCTATACAGGTTTAAAACCAAACGGGCCAAAAAATAACGGGCCCTTTAAACCAAAGCCATATACAGGCCAAACCCAAAGCCTATACAGCCAAAACCAAAAGCCATATACAGGCCTTACCCAAACCTATCGGCCCTTTAAACCAAAGCCATATCGGCCTTACCCAAAGCCAAAAACACCTTTAACCAAACCATATCGGCCCTTTACCCAAAGCCAAAAAACAGGCCTTACCCAAAGCCAAACACCCCTTCCCCTAACTTAAAAATTTTAAAGTCCAAAGTTAATTTTCCCCAAAAACCTAAAGGGTTCAAAAAAAAAAAAAAATTAACGAGGGGAAAGAAAAAATCCCAAAAAACCTTCCCCTTTCCCCCTTCGGGCCTACCCCAAACCAAACGGCCTTAAAAGAATCGCCAAAAAGTAACCCCCTTAACCCAAATATCCCTTAAAAAGCCTGCCTAAAAACCAAACGGCCTTAAAAAAGCCATATAAGGGGCCCTTAAAAGCCCATAACGGTTAAAAAACCCTTACAAAAAAAAGCCTTTATAACTTCCCAAACCTATACCTTAACCAAAACCAAAAACAGGCTAAAAACCCCTATCAGGTTTTTCCCCAAAGCCTATAAAGGCCTTAAAAAAGCCTAACAGGTTCCCCGTAACAGGTTTAAAAAAGTTACAGTTTAAAAAAACCCAAATTGGGTAAAAATGTTTTTGTCTTAGTTTTTTTTCTTAAATTTTTTCTCAAAAAGTGTCCCCCTAAAATTGCCCCGAATACATAATTTTACATATTTTTGTCCTTGGGGCCATTTTAAATTTGTTACAAGTGTGGTAGAACTTTTAACACAGAAATATTTTTTAAAAAAAGGTTTAAAAAGCAAAAGTTTTACGCAAATCATGAATGTTTTAAACTGTTTTTTTTCAAACCCGAAAATCAAAAAATAAATTTTTAAACCCAAAAAAAAACCCAAAAGGTTACGGGTGCCCTGGTCAAAAAGGGTACTGGTGGGGCGCTGGCAACAGGCGAAACGGGTGAAAATTTTAACTTCTTCATTTTCATTTAAAACCATTTAAAAAATTAATTCAAATTTTCTTCTTTTCCAAAAATGGGAGTTAAGGGAAAAAAAAATCTTTGAAAAATTTTTGGCAGTAAAAGGGTTACAGGGAGAGAATTATGAAGGTTTTTTAAAAAAGGGAATAAGTTTAAAGGGGTTAGAAGAATTTTGGGGAAAATTTTTTAAAAAAATGTAACAAAAAAGGGGGGAAGACGATTTCGGGAGGAAAAAGGAAAAGGGGGATAGGAACCCGGAAAAAGGGGGGCCCATTTAAGGTTGGGGGTTAAAAAATTTTCCCCCCAAAAGGTTAGGAAACCATAATTTTTAAAGAAACGGGGAAGACCATTTCCCCTTCCCAAACTGGGGGGCTAAATGAAAGGGGGAAAAAATCAATTTAGTATGGGTGGACATCCAAGAAATATGAAGCAACAAGTTCACTTTGTATTTCATGTAAAGAACCCTTCTCACCTGGTTGCAGCTGGCGTGGGTTCTGCTGTGGTCTCAGCTGCTTTTCAGGAATGAGAACAATAAAAAATTAAAATTAAAACACAAAGCAGTCAAAAACCTACATTCACTAATTGTTATGTTTTGGGGAAAAAGTGTTAAGAAGCCTGGAAAGGTAATCCTGAAATAAATCCTGAACAACAGAAGCTGCAATGTTAACGGCCCTGATAGGTCACCTGATAGGTCCCCTGATAGGTCCCCTGATAGGTCACCTGATAGGTCACCTGATAGGTCACCTGATAGGTCCCCTGATAGGTCACCTGATAGGTCCCTCTGCTGTGTATAGTGCCCCTAATGGCCCCTTATGTGTAGTGCACTACTTCTGATCAGGGCTCCCTAGGTTTGGTTTGGCAGGCCATGAATCATTCTGCACCTCAGTAGAACCAGTGGTCCACTGTAAGGTCTACACCTGTTGTATTCGGCGCATGTGACAAATAAAATTTGATTTGATTTGATTTTGACATGATCTGTCACATGATCTCAGTATATATACACCTGTTCTGAAAGGCCCCAGAGTCTGCAGCACCACTAAGCAAGGGGCACCACCAAGCAAATGGCACCATGAAGACCAAGGAGCTCTCCAAACAGGTCAGGGACAAAGTTGTGGAGAACTACAGATCAGGGTTGGGTTATAAAAAAATATCAGAAACTTTGAACATCCCACGGAGCACCATTAAATCCATTATTAAAAGATGGAAAGAATATGGCACCACAACAAACCTGCCAAGAGAGGGCCGCCCACCAAAACTCATGGACCAGGCAAGGAGGGCATTAATCAGAGGCAACAAAGAGACCAAAGATAACCCTGAAGGAGCTGCAAAGCTCCACATCGGAGATTACAGTATCTGTCCATAGGACCACTTTAAGCTGTACACTCCACAGAGCTGGGCTTTACGGAAGAGTGGCCAGAAAAAAGCCATTGCTTAAAGAAAGAAATAAGCAAATACGTTTGGTGTTCGCCAAAAGGCATGTGGGAGACTCCCCAAACATATGAAAGAAGGTACTCTGTTCAGATTAGACTAAAATTGAGCTTTTTGGAAAACGCTATGTCTGGCGCAAACCCAACACCTCTCATCACCCCGAGAACACAATCCCCACAGTGAAGCATGGTGGTGGCAGCATCATGCTGTGGGGATGTTTTTCATCGGCAGGGACTGGGAAACTGGTCAGAATTGAAGGAATGATGGATGGCGCTAAATACAGGGAAATTATTGAGGGAAACCTGTTTCAGTCTTCCAGAGATTTGAGACTGGGACGGAGGTTCACCTTCCAGCAGGACAATGACCCTAAGCATACTGCTAAAGCAACAGTCGAGTGGTTTAAGGGGAAACATTTAAATGTCTTGGAATGGCCTAGTCAAAGCCCAGACCTCAATCCAATTGAGAATCTGTGGTATGACTTAAAGATTGCTGTACACCAGCGGAACCCATCCAACTTGAAGGAGCTGGAGCAGTTTTGCCTTGAAGAATGGGCAAAAATCCCAGTGGCTAGATGTGCCAAGCTTATAGAGACATACCCCAAGAGACTTGCAGCTGTAATTGCTGCAAAAGGTGGCTCGATAAAGTATTCACTTTGGGGGAGTGAATAGTTATGCACGCTCAAGTTTTCTGTTTCAAAAATATATATATTTTGCATCTTCAAAGTGGTAGGCATGTTGTGTAAATCAAATTATACAAACCCCCAAAAAATCAATTTTAATTCCAGGTTGTAAGTTAACAAAATAGGAAAAATGCCAAGGGGGGTGAATACTTTCGCAAGCCACTGTATATAGTTGAATAGAACCAGTGGTCCAGTATATAGTTGAATAGAACCAGTGGTCCAAAAGACCATATATACAGTACCAGTCAAAGGTTTGGACACACCTACTCATTCAAGGGTTTTTCTTTATTTGTAAAATGTTCTAAATTGTAGAATAATAGTGAAGACATCAAAACTATGAAATAACACATATGGAATCATGTAGTAACCAAAAAAGTGTTAAACAAATCAAAATATATTTTATATTTGAGATTCTTCAATGTAGCCACCCTTTGCCTTGATGACAGCTTTGCACACTATTGGCATTCTCTCAACCAGCTTCATGAGGTAGTCACCTGGAATGCATTTCAATTCAAATCGAATCAAATCAAATCCATTTTTATTTGCCGCATGCGCCGAATACAACAGGTGCAGACATTACAGAAATGCTTACTTACAGCCCTTAACCAACAGTGCATTTATTTTTAACAAAAAAGTAAAAATAAAACAACAACAAAAAAAGTGTTGAGAAAAAAAGAGCAGCAGTAAAATAAAATAACGTAGCGTAAAAGGATGGGGTGGGGGGGCAGTGCAAATAGTCCGGGTAGCAATGATTAGCTGTTCAGGAGTCTTATGGCTTGGGGGTAGAAGCTGTTGAGAAGCCTTTTGGACCTAGTCTTGGCGCTCTGGTACCGTTTGCCGTGCGGTAACAGAGAGAACAGTCTATGACTAGGGTGGCTGGAGTCTTTGACAATTTTGAGGGCCTTCCTCTGACATCGCCTGGTATAGAGGTCCTGGATGGCAGGAAGCTTGGCCCCAGTGATGTACTGGGCCGTACGCACTACCCTCTGTAGTGCCTTGCGGTCGGAGGCCGAGCAGTTGCCATACCAGGCGGTGATGCAACCAGTCAGGATGCTCTCGATGGTGCAGCTGTATAACTTTTTGAGGATCTGAGGACCCATGCCACATTCTTTCAGTCTCCTGAGGGGGAATAGGCTTTGTCGTGCCCTCTTCACGACTGTCTTGGTGTGTTTCGACCATGATAGTTCGTTGGTGATATGGACACCAAGGAACTTGAAGCTCTCAACCTGTTCCACTACAGCCCCGTCGATGAGAATGGGGGCGTGTTCAGTCCTCTTTTTTTTCCTGTAGTCCACAATCATCTCATTTGTCTTGATCACGTTGAGGGAGAGGTTGTTATCCTGGCACCACACGGCCAGGTCTCTGACCTCCTCCCTATAGGCTGTCTCATCGTTGTCGTGATCAGGCCTACCACTGTTGTGTCGTCGGCAAACTTAATGATGGTGTTGGAGTCGTGCCTGGCCATGCAGTCATGGGTGAACAGGGAGTACAGGAGGGGACTGAGCACACACCCCTGAGGGGCCCCCGTTTTGAGGATCAGCGTGGCAGATGTTTTGTTACCTACCCTTACCACCTGGGGGCGGCCCGTCAGGAAGTCCAGGATCCAGTTAGAGAGGGAGGTGTTTAGTCCCAGGGTCCTTAGCTTAGTGATGAGCTTTGAGGGCACTATGGTGTTGAACGCTGAGCTGTAGTCAATTAATAGCATTCTCACGTAGGTGTTCCTCTTGTCCAGGTGGGAAAGGGCAGTGTGGAGTGCAATAGAGATTGCATCATCTGTGGATCTGTTGGGGCGGTATGCAAATTGGAGTGGGTCTAGGGTTTCTGGGATAATGGTGTTGATGTGAGCCATGACCAGCCTTTCAAAGCACTTCATGGCTACAGACGTGAGTGCTACGGGTCGGTAGTCATTTAGGCAGGTTATCTTAGTGCCCTTGGGCACAGGGACTATGGTGGTCTGCTTGAAACATGTTGGTATTACAGACTCAGTCAGGGACATGTTGAAAATGTCAGTGAAGACACTTGGTCAGCACATGCTCGGAGTACACGTCCTGGTAATCCGTCTGGCCATGCGGCCTTGTGAATGTTGACTTGCTAAAAAGTCTTACTCACATCGGCTACGGAGAGCGTGATCACATATTCATCCGGAACAGCTGGTGCTCTCATGCATGCTTCAGTGTTGCTTGCCTCGAAGCGAGCATAGAAGTGATTTAGCTCGTCTGGTAGGCTTGTGTCACTGGGTAGCTTGCGGCTGTGCTTCCCTTTGTAGTCTGTAATAGTTTTCAAGCCCTGCCACATCCGACGAGTGTCAGAGCCGGTGTAGTACGATTCAATCTTAGTCCTGTATTGACTCTTTGCCTGTTTGATGGTTCGTCGGAGGGGATAGCAGGATTTCTTATAAGCGTCCGGGTTAGAGTCCCGCTGCTTGAAAGCGGCAGCTCTAGCCTTTAGCTCAGTGCAGATGTTGCCTGTAATCCATGGCTTCTGGTTGGGGTATGTACATATGGTCACTGTGGGGACGATGTCATCGATGCGCTTATTGATGAAGCCAGTGACTGATGGCGTACTCCTCAATGCTGTCTGAAGAATCCCGGAACATATTCCAGACTGTGCAAACAAAACAGTCCTGTAGCTTAGCATCTGGGTCATCTGACCACTTTTTTATTAACCGAGTCACTGGTGCTTCCTGCTTTAGTTTTTGCTTGTAAGCAGGAATCAGGAGGATAGAGTTATGGTCAGATTTGCCAAAAGGAGGGCGAGGGAGAGCTTTGTACGCGTCTCTGTGTGTGGAGTAAAGGTGGTCTAGAGTTTTTTTTTCCTCTGGTCGCACATTTAACATGCTAGTAGAAATTAGGTAGAACGGATTTCAGTTTCCCTGCATTAAAGTCCCCGGCCACTAGGAGCGCTGCCTCTGGATGAGCGTTTTCCTGTTTACTTATGGCCTTATACAGCTCATTCAGTGCAGTCTTAGTTCCAGCATTGGTTTGTGGTGGTATATAGACAGCTATGAAAAATATAGATGAAAACTCTCTTGGTAAATAGTGTGGTCTACAGCTTATCATAAGATACTCTTCCTCAGGCGAGCAAAACCTCGAGACTTCCTTAGTATTTGATTTTGTGCACCAGCTGTTGTTTACAAATATACACAGACCGCCACCCCTTGTCTTACCGGAGTCAGCCATTCTATCCTGCCGATGTAGCGTATAGCCCGCTAGCTGTATGTTATCCATGTCGTTCAGCCACGACTCGGTGAAACATAAGATATTACAGTTTTTAATATCCCGTTGGTAGGATAACCTTAATCTTAGGTCATCCAATTTATTTTCAAATGATTGAAGATTGGCTAATAGGATTGATGGGAGAGGCAGTTTACTCGCTCGCCGTCGGATCCTTACAAGGCACCCCGACCTACGTCCACGATATCTCTGTCTCTTTCTCATGCGAATGACGGGGATTTGCTCTTGTCGGGTGTCTGTAGATATCCTTCGCGTCCGACTCGTTGAAGAAAAAATCTTTGTCCAATACGAGGTGAGTAATCACTGTCCTGATATCCAGAAGCTCTTTTTGGTCATAACAGACGGTGGCAGAAACATTATGTACAGAATAAATTACAAATAACGCCAAAAAACACACATAATAGTAGAATTGGTTAGAGGGCTGTAAAACGGCAGCCATCTTCTCCGGCGCCATTATGAAGAACAGGTGTGCCTTGTTAAAAGTTCATTTGTGGAATCTATTTCCTTCTTAATGCGTTTGAGCCAATCAGTTGCGTTGTGACAAGGTAGGGGTGGTATACAGACGATAGCCCTATTTGGTAAAAGACCAAGTCCATATTATGGCAAGAACAGCTCAAATAATCAAAGAGAAACAACAGTCCATCATTACATTAAGACATCAAGGCCAGTCAATCCGGAAAATGTCAAGAACTTTGAAAGTTTCTTCAAGTGCAGTCGCAAAAACCATCAAGCACTATGATGAAACTGGCTCTCATGAGGACCGCCACAGGAAAGGAAGACCCAGAGTTACCTCTGCTGCAGAGTATAAGTTCATTAGAGTTACCAGCCTCAGAAATTGCAGCCCAAATAAATGCCTCACAGAGTTCAAGTAACAGACACATCTCAACATCAACTGTTCAGAGGAGACTGTGTGAATCAGGCCTTCATGGTCGAATTGCTGCAAAGAAACCACTACTAAAGGACACCAATAATAATAAGAGACTTGCTTGGGCCAAGAAACACGAGCAATGGACATTAGACCGGTGGAAATGTGTCCTTTGGTCTGATGAGTCCAGATTTGGGATTTTTGGTTCCAACCGCTGTATCTTTGTGAGACGTGGTGTGGGTGAACGGATGATCTCCGCATGTGTATTTCCCACCGTAAAGCATAGAGGAGGATGTGTTATGGTGTGGGGGTGCTTTGCTGGTGACACTGTCAGTGATTTATTTAGAATTCATGGCACACTTAACCAGCATGGCTACCACAGCATTCTGCAGCGATACGCCATCCCATCTGGTCTGCGCTTAGTGGGAATATCATTTGTTTTTCAACAGGACAATGACCCAACACACCTCCAGGCTGTGTAAGGGCTATTTGACCAAGGAGAGTGATGGAGTGCTGCATCAGATGACCTGGCCTCCACAATCACACCACCTCAACCCAATTGAGATGGTTTGGGATGAGTCGGACCGCAGAGTGAAGGAAAAGCAGCCAACAAGTGCTCAGCATATGTGGGAACTCCTTCAAGACTGTTGGAAAAGCATTCCAGGTGAAGCTGGTTGAGAGAATGCCAAGAGTGTGCAAAGCTGTCATCAAGGCAAAGGGTGGCTATTTGAAGAATTTCAAATATAAAATATATTTTCATTTTTTGGTTACTACATGATTCCATATGTCTTATTTCATAGTTTTGATGTCTTCACTATTATTCTGCAATGTAGAAAATAGTAAAATAAATTAAGAAAAACCCTTGAATGAGTAGGTGTGTCCAAACTTTTGACTGGTAGTGTGTATATGGTCTTTTGGACCACTGGTTCGATCACTATATGGACAGGCTATTTAAATATACTGGACCACTGGTTCTATTCAACTATATACTGGACCACTGGTTCTATTCAACTATATAGTCTGCTGCCTTTTCCTTTATCAGTTATATTAATGGTCACTTTGCATTAGACAAATACACTATCGAAATGCCCAATCCATGTGACTTGGCAGTAATTTGCATTGGGACTCACTAAGTAAATTGACAGGATTAGTCATGTATTCCATCCGCATGGAACCTCTAGGGTCAGTGAGTGATCACTCTAGGGTCAGTGAGTGATCATATTAGTAACCCTGGTAACAGACATATCCCTAACCCTGGTAACATACCTATCCCTAACCCTGGTAACAGACCTATCCCTAACCCTGGTAACATACCTAACCCTGGTAACAGACCTATAACTACAACCCTGGTAACAGACCTATCCCTAACCCTGGTAACAGACCTATAACTAACCCTGGTAACAGACCTATCCCTAAACCCTGGTACAACCTATCCTAACCCTGGAACAGACCTATCAACCCTGGTAACAGACCTAACCCTGGTAACAGACCTATAACTCACCCTGGTAACAGACCTACCTGGTAACAGACCTATCCCTAACCCTGGTAACAGACAAAACCCCAAACCTGGTAACAGACCAAACCAAAACCCTGGTAACAGACCTATCCCTAACCCTGGTAACATACCTATCCCTAACCCTGGTAACAGACCTAACCCTGGTAACAGACCTATCCCTAACCCTGGTAACAGACCTATCCCTAACCCTGGTAACAGACCTAACCCTGGTAACAGACCTATCCCTGGTAACATACCTATCCCTAACCCTGGTAACAGACCTAACCCTGGAAAACAGACCTTTTTAAAACCCTAACCCTGGTAAACAGACCTATCCCTAACCCTGGTAAAAATACCAAATAACAACTAACCCTGGTAAAAACCCTATCCCTAACCCTGGTAAACAGACCTACCCTAACCCTGGTAACGACCTAAACCCCTGGTAACAGACCTACCCTAACCCTGTAACAGACCTATCCCTAACCCTGTAACAGACCTACCCTGGTAACAGACTATCCTAACCCTGGTAAACAACCTATCCCTGGTAACAACCTACCCTAACCCTGGTAAACAGACTACCCTAACCCTGGTAACAACCTATAAACCCTGGTAACAGACCTATCTAACCCTGGTAACAGACCTACCCCAAACCCCTGGGAATAACAAATTTACCTATAACTAACCCCTGGGAAACAGACCTATCCCAACCCTGGTAAACATCCCTACCCCCTAACCCTGGTAACCAGAACCTACCTACCTGGTAACAGACCTATCCCTGGTAACAGACCTATAACTAACCCTGGTAACATACCTATCCTAACCGGTAACATATAAAAAACCTATCCCAAACCCCTTTAAAGCCCTGAAACAGACCTAAAAACCTGGTAACAAGCCCTAACCTGGTAACAGACCTATAACTTAACACCTTTGGAAACAGACCAAACCTAACCCTGGAAACCCTTTACCTTAACAATAACCAACCCTGGTAACATGATATCGCCTAACAAACGGAAAACAACCTATCCTAACTCGGTCACAAAACCTCCCACGCGGTAAAAAGACCTCTAGCTACTGGTTCAGGGGCCTACCCAAACCGGGTTTTAACAGACCTAACCCGGGTTTTACAGACCTTTCCCTGGTTAACAGACCTTTAAACTACTGGTCGGGGGTCCTATCCTACCCTGGTAACATACCTTTCCCTCCCCCTGGTAACAGACCCCTACCCGGGTTTCGGGCCACTGCGTAACAGCCTTTCCAGGTACATACCTCCCTACCCGGGTTTTAACTCCTACTCCTACCTGGTAGGGGCATACCTCCAAACCGGTTCAGACTGGGCTCCCTACGGGTTTTCGGGGGTAACTGGTACAGCTAGCCCGGGTTTAACGCACTATAAACTACGGGTTTGGGGTCACAGCCTATCCCTACACCGGGGGGGTACGACTATCCCAACCCGGTTTATCAGACCTTCCCGGTTTAGGGGTCAGACCTCCTACACGGGTTTTCGGGGGCCTATCCCTACCGGGTTTCGGGGGCCTAACCCTAACTGGTTTTCGGGGGGTCACGAGTTTTAGCAGCGGCAGGGGGAAGGTCCACAGGAGCGGCGGGGGACTTTTGGGCTCCTAGCTAGCTGTGTTCAGGGGGTCACGAGCTCTAAGCTAGCTGTGTTCAGGGGGTCACTGAGCGCTCCTAGCTAGCTGTGTTCAGGGGGTCACTGAGCGCCAAGCTAGCTGTGTTCAGGGGTTTCACTGAGCCCAGCTTGGTTCAGGGGTCACTGAGCGCTCCCGCTAGCTGTGTGTTCAGGGGTCACTGAGCGCTCCTAGCTAGCTGTGTTCAGGGGGTCATGAGCGTTTCTAGCCAGCTGTGTTCAGGGGTCACTGGCGCTCCAGCTAGCTGTGTTCAGGGGTCACTGAGCGCTCCTAGCTAGCTGTGTTCGGGGGTACTGGAGCGCTCCTAGCTAGTGTGTTCAGGGGTCACTGGGGCTCCTAGCTAGCTGTGTTCAGGGGGGTCACTGAGCCCCCAGCTAGCTGTGTTCGGGGGGTCACTGAGCGCTCCTAGTAGCTGGGGTTCAGGGGGTCACTGAGCTCCTAGCTAGCTGTGTTCAGGGGGCCCACTGGGGCTCAGCTAGCTGTGTTCAGGGGTCACTGAGCTCCTAGCTAGCTGTGTTCAGGGGGTCACTGAGCGCTCCTAGCTAGCTGTGTTCAGGGGGTCACTGAGCGCTCCTAGCTAGCTGTGTTCAAGGGGTCACTGAGCGCTCCTAGCTAGCTGTGTTCAGGGGGTCACTGAGCGCTCCAGCTAGCTTGGTTCGGGGGGGTCACTAAAGCGCCCCTAGCTAGCTGCTGAGCGCTCCTAGCTAGCTGTGTTCAGGGGGTCACTGAGCAGTACAGTAGGCCAGGTTACTGTTGATCTGTGGGAGTAAATTAACATTGTTTACTTGGTTCTGTCAATGGGACAATAATGAGGGTCATTACCATTTGTCATTGGATTAATACTGTAAGGGACGGTTTTCCAGTCAGACACAGGTTAAGCCTAAAGTCTCTGACTAAAAAGCTTTTTCAACTGAGATGATGTTTTTATATACAGGATTAGGCTTAATCTGTGTCAGGGGAAACTAGCCTGATGTGTTTTTACAGCTGCTTGAACACATACTGTAGCTATTCCATCCTTATCAAAATGGTCACGCATTCACAACTGATCCATTTCCATCCTGTCACAGGCCTCTTGTGTGCTGTGAGCAGATATGAGGACACAGGAGAAAGGTGTGTCATTTGCATTGAAAATAGAGGAAGATGATCATGTTGGTTTTGAACAGGTCACTTTGGCTGCGTTTACACAGGCAGTCCAATTCTGATATTTTGCCCAATTTTTGGCAAAAGAGCTGATCAGATTGGTCAAAAGACCAATTAGTGGAAACATATCCGAATTGGGCTGCCTGTGTAAACGCAGCCTCTGTCTGTCTGTCTGTGCCTACAGTCTGACTGTCTGTCTGTGCCTACAGTCTGATGTCTGTCTGTGTGCCTACAGTTGACTGTCTGTCTGTGCCTACAGTCTGTCTGTGTCTGTGCCTACAGTCTGACTGTCTGTCTGTCTGTGCCTACAGTCTGACTGTCTGCTGTCTGTCTGTCTGTGCCTACAGTCTGACTGTCTGTCTGTGCCTACAGTCTGACTGTCTGTCTGTGCCTACAGTCTGACTGTCTGTCTGTGCCTACAGTCTGACTGTCTGTCTGTGCCTACAGTCATGTCTTCGTCCCCGTCTGCTGTCTGTTGCCTACAGTTGTCTGTCTGGTCGTCTGGTCTGTCTGTGGGCCTACAGTTGTCGTCTGTGCCTACAGTCTGACTGTCTGTCTGTCTGTGCCTACAGTCTGACTGTCTGTCTGTGCCTACAGTCTGTTGTCTGCTGCGTCTTTTCTGTCTGTTGTGCCTACAAATCTGACTGGCGTGCTGTCTGCGTGCCTCACTCTGACTGTCTGTCTGTGCCTACAGTTCTGTCTGTCTTTTTGCCTACAGTCTGGCTGTCTGGGCTGTGCCTACAGTCTGACTGTCTGTCTTTTTGCCTACAGTCTGGTCTGTCTGTGCCTACAGTCTAGTCGTCTGTGCCTACAGTTGACTGTCGGGCTGTTGCTACAGTCTGACTGTCTGTCTGGTGCCTACAGTTCTGGTCTTTTACGTCTGTCTGTCTGTGCCTAACTGTCTGCTGTCTGTCTGTGCCCACAGTCGACTGTCTGTCTGGCTACAGTCGACTGTCGTCTTGTGCCTACAGTTGACTGCTCTGTCTGTTGCCTACAGTCTGACTGTTGTCTGCCTGTCTGTCTGTTGCCTACAGTCTGTCTGTCTGTGCCTACAGTCTGTCGCTGTCTGTCTGTCTGTCTGTGCCTACAGTCTGTCTGTCTGTCTGTCTGTGCCTACAGTCTTGACTGTTGTTCCCGTGCCTACAGTCTGACGTCTGTCTGTGCCTACAGTCTGCTGTCTCTGTCTTGCTAAGGGCTGTCTGGGCTGTGCCTACAGTCTGTCTGTCTGTGCCACAAATCTCGTCTGTCTGTCTGTCTGTGCCTACAGTCTGTCTGTCTGTGGGCCCACAAGTCTGCTGTCTGTCTGTGCCTACAGTCTGACTGTCTGTCTGTGCCTACAGTGACTGTCTGTCTGTGCCTACAGTCTGACTGTCTGTCTGTGCCTACAGTCTGACTGTCTGTCTGTGCCTACAGTCTGACTGTCTGTCTGTGCCTACATTGTCTGTTTTCTGTCTGTTGGCTACAGTCTGCTGGGATGTCTGTGCTACAGTCGTCCTGGTCCCGGCTCAGGGGGGCCTCGGAGAGCTGGGCCCCGGCTGCTCGGGGGAAGTGGATGCTGCAGGAGCTGGGGATGGGGCTGTGGTGTCTCCTGGGGCCTGGGCTGCAGGGGCTGGGGATGGGGCTGTGGTGTCTCCTGGGGCCTGGGCTGCAGGGGCTGGGGATGGGGCTGTGGTGTCTGCTGGGGCCTCCACTTGGGCTGCAGCCGGAGCAGACTGGTCCTCCCATCCTGTGGTGGTAGCTGCTACGGCCACTGTGTGATCTGGGATGGTCTCACTGTCCTCCACAACCGTACCGTTCTCATCAGCCGCCCCTGGCAGTGGAACACAGAACATCAGCCACATGCTGGGAGATGATTTATATAGCCCTTTTAACAACAACACAAAGTGCTTTACAGTCATTTACATCAACTGAAATATTAAATGTTTGATGGACAAGCTATCATATTTCCTGAGAAATGTCCTCATCACATCTGTTACAACAATAGAAAATAGTGGTCCCTCCCCTCTACCTTACTGTGAGAAGTAGGTAATTCTATAGTTCAGGCAGCCAGCAGTGTTAGAACAGTGTGTGATGGACAGGGCTTCAGGTCATGATTAAATAGCCGTGAAACTGGCAAACAATGCTTCACCTCGTAGCAACGCCACACAATCACAGCTCTTTCTCAGGCAACAGCCCAGCTAGCGTAGCAGGGTTGGTTATGTTTCCACTTGACACGGCAAAAATATGTATTTCATGTTCATGTATTCCTATTGGTTGGTTGAATTTACATATCAATAAGGTGTTATGCCATTGGTCATGCTTGCAGATAGCGGAAGATTGCAAACTTCGATTCTTCCCAGTCTGATATTGACATGCAAGCGGTAGGTCACGTTCTGAAATACTGTATTTCTATTGTCATATTTACAATGTGTACGAGGTCACCATAGTCATGTCCTGGTGTGTATACTATATGTGTGTACAGTACCTGGTAGATATCGGGGGCATGCTGGGATGCGCTTTCCTATGTTACTGCTGTAAGAGCGAGTTAGCTAGCATGCTCTAATTGTAATGGTCGCATTAGCTCCCTGCTAATTCACAGTTATTTCCACGCTAACAGCTGAATCACAAATCTACAGCCATCAACATTCTGTTGTCCTGCACATCTAATGTGCTTCCATGTGTCTATCGTCAGAATAAACACCAATCAGCTAGGATCGCTGGCTGGTCAGTCCTTTCTGTAAAAACACAACGCAAGAGATTTACAAAGTACGACCACATCTGTTACAGTCCCACATTTGGTTCCTTGGAAGTTGTGGGAACGAAGCCATACGTTTCCTGACCGTTTCTGATTTTGGGTTAACTGTTTTGAACTCTAAGCACAGATAGGACACTTGGACATGTATTTCCTCAGGCATTTTATTGTGTTTGTGAGATTTGAAGCTATAATCTTCTATTCTCTATCCATGGATTTTAAAAAATATATTTATTTAACCAGGTAAGCCAGTTGAGAACAAGTGGAATTAGTCCACTGCACCACCAGAATGGAGTTAGCATGCTACATTTCTTCACACATACAAAGCTGTTCATTTTAGTCTATTCAAACTGACCCAATTTCAAAGGAAAGAAGCCCTCATTAAGATCAGGTCTGGCCAATTAGTGGGCGCGGCCAACACACCTGAGCACACTTCACAATATAGAGGATAGAGAGAGTTTTGTTGACGCTGAGAACGGAATGTACTGTATATGTTTTTAAATAACATTCGTAGAACGTTCTCTGAATGTTACTAAAGTTTTTCATGGAAAGTTTTCTTAACGTTCTCGGAACAATTTGAGAACATGACTTTAAATAGATGAGGAAACCTGTAGGTGACGTTATGCTGAAGTACTGAAATTGTTGTTTCTTAACGTTCTCTGAACTATTTGAGAACATTCCCAATGTCAAACCAGTTGGAGAACGTTCCTAGAACATTCCCAAAATGTAAATGAAATGTAACCGTTTGAACTTTTAGGAAACATTCTGTTAAAGTAATGAAACACCAAGAAAACTATCCTGCACCATTCCCAGAAAGTAATGGGAGGGTTGTCTGTAAAATAACCGTAGGACAAC